TTTTCTGCCGAACACTGAGTATGTATCTCCTTTGTGTACTGCACATCGAGCATATATTTCTTTAATCTTTTTTTAGAACAATGTCATTCTCTCCCCGTTCCAAAGATCTCGATTACTAAATAAAATATCGCATATATAAACTCGCGCAGTTACTTTACATGAATTTTATCGGTAAAAATAATCTGTCTTTTTTTATATATAGAATGTAGAAAAAGAAATACTTCACTCGAAATTCAATATTGTTACGAACTATCCTACGACTTTTCAGCTGTCATATATAACCAAACCGGTTGAAGTACTAATATATATATATATATATATATATATAAAAAGACATTAATCATAAAATGAATACTTGCTAGCTCGAGGCACAAAATGATAAGCTAGAAGACTTGAAATTTGCCTAAATTAACATTTTATGAAGACCTCTCCCCGAAACTCTCTTTATATTCGCGAAAAGATTCTCATAGCAATAGAAGCAGAAAACCCTCTCTCCGAAGCGTGAAATTATTGTCGAAATATCGCGGTTCCCTATTCCTTCTTTTGATGATTTTTGGCGCGGAAAAATGTTGGATACGACACGACGGCAGCGTTTTCACAGATATGGAAATATGGAAATCGAGGATGCGCGGCGAACAAATTGAACAATAATCTGTAGACTCGTCGGTTCGCTGGGTCAGCTGTAATCGCAGTGGAATAAGTGTCGCGCCAAGTGGAACGTGAAGCCATAGCGAAATAATGACCCGGTCGTTATAAAAGTCACGAGTTCCCGACTCAATCAAGAGAACTAATACTTTCCTCGAGCTTTCTTTCAAATGCTGAAAGCTCTGTTTTGTTAACCCACCTCTTAATATTTAAACGTATTTGACGCTCATCCGCACGGTTTGGACACTTCCTTGACTTTAAGGACAAAGTCAAAGCGACGATTAATTTCACCGACGATTTCAGTATATCTCTATAATTCCGGTCGGCAATCGCGATAGCTTGGTGTATTATAATATATTGCCATTAAACTTGACTATTAGAGAAATGCTGAAAGTAAGAAAAATACTACGTAGGCGAAAATTAAAAGCCTTATATCAAATCATAATAAAACTTGGAGGTCTTACGTGAAATAAATCATGGTGGAATAAAAGTTCTCGCAATAACCGGATTGCTGAGACACACAATATATCATCTAGCCACCATTCATAATATCCGTATTACTTAACAACATCGATCGTTGATTAAAACGCATGCGATCATCATCTCGTCCTTGTGTACACTCTTCCTCCCTTTCTCTCTCTCTCTCTCTCTCTCTCTCTCTCTCTCTCTCTTTGCGAGTGCAAACATCTTCTCTCTTGACACGAGTATGTGCTCGGACTGAACTGCTTTCGAAATGTTATTCCGCTCCGTATAGGTCGACCTGATCGATGTGCTCGCGATCGACCTTATAATTACCATCGTAAATCTTCCGTCATAATCTGCTCCTTTGTCTCGGAAAGTAGTGGAGAAGAGGACGAGGAGAAAAGAGGAAAATATATTCGTGCCGCAATAATCGAGAATTAGATCGCTCTCGATACTCGGAAGATCTGCAGAAGGATAAAAGTTTCGAGGGAAGAAAAATAAGATGATGGACATTGAAAAACGATGGTGGTTCGTATAGAGAAGCGCGTTGAATTAAATTGTATGAAAGTCCGCAAACGCGGTTCAACTGGATATCGTCGGTAATTGTTACAGCTCGAGTCGCGCTTGGAACGCAATTCCGCCAACCGCAAAGTGATGGTTCTACTTCCGAAGTGACACATATATGCGACCTCCTCCGCGATGCACGATATAGGTCAACATCGCTCTCGCACCTTCTTTTACTCCTAAACGGAGAGGAATTTTGCGCGCAATGCGCTTAATCGTAGTAATCTTTTAATGAAAACTTAAGATTTCTACAAGGCTAATCTTATTAAGAACTTATATATAATTGCTCTCGTGTACGAAGCGCGTTTCTTATATCAACTGTGCTCAAATGTATATAGAAAATCTCCGCGTTTTTAACGTGTTCCAGATATTGTCACCGTCGCGCATATTTCACTCTTTTTAATGTCTCAAGAATTATAAAATTATATAGGAGAGAAATCATATATATATTATTAGCATGTGAAGTAAGAATTTGAATCTAATTATTCCGAGATTTTTCCAAGTGATTAAGGAAGTAGGTCCATCGCTTCTTCCACGAATTTGCACTTTGTTCGTACGTAACTTTGATGTTGGTTGAGAAATTAAGCTTGTAACACAATACACCTCGTACTCGGCTCCATACTAAAGCTTGAAGATGGCACATTAATCTTAGCATGCAATTTGTATGAATGCCATCTTAATTTAATCATAAAGGGGAGTTCCAAACATTGTTTTAGCTTTTACTTTGTCAATTTTATGTAGTCGTCAAGCGCAGAATGTATTAAGTAAAATCTCGAATAATCGCTTGCCGCATTTAAAACAAATCGTATTATGTAAACGTGATTCGATTAATCGTCGATTTTCTTCACGTGATGTCATGAGAAAGAAATTCTGATCGAGAACGTGACTAAGGGATTTTATTGCTTTCTCGGTGCAGTTGCCTGTTCTTCGTATTTTTCACGTTGACGACCATATCGATTTCGCGTAAGGATTCCAATCCGGCCGTTTATTTCATTCGAGATTATCCTCGAGATCGACGAGCTTAGACAGTGTCGGAAATTAATCAAAAGTAAATTTAACGCGTAATAATTTCCCTTCCTATGCGGAACTCGACGATAACCAAATTATTTCGAATACCTCCGAACAACGAAAGAATATATAAAAATATCAATCTCTATCATATTTCTATTATATTTATCTTTATCACATTTCCTCTATCTCTCTTTACTCGCAGTATATTATTGTATCTCTTTTATCGTTGCAAAATATTCTAATATATGCTTTAGAATTTTTATAACAAGTACTTTGATCTCTATTCAATCATTTACTTCAGACACTAGCATTAATATCGCAACTTTGCCGCTTCCTAATTAAAATATATCGAATTGTTAAACTTTGTCGCTGTTAGGGTAGAATAGAAAGATCTACCAGAATAATGTACAAATGCCATTATTAATAATTGTATACGGACTCACGAGAGCAAAATTCGATGTTACGACTTCTCATAAAAGCCAGCTTATCGCTTATTGCTTCTTTCTCAGAGACGTTCCATTAATTACGAAGCGTTCATAGTCATTTAATTATCATGAATACAGACTAAGTTTTATCAAGATGTCTTCATTTATTTTATTGCCCTAATTATTAATAACTATTGTAAGTTATGATGTTTTCCGCAAGAACTTTCGAAAAAATGTATCTCTCACATGTTTTCAATAGGCAAATATTTAAATTATGTTTAAAATATTTAGAAGAAGGTGGTTTTTTTTATTGCCCAAAGCACACGTATATTATTGTATTATCATATATTAATTCTAATAGCATAATAGAGAAAATGATGAAAATGTCAGAGATCAATTTTATCATAATCTGGTTTATATGTAGATATAGTGGAAATTGAGCATATTTTTCGGCAATAAAATGTGAGTTCGTAAGAGTTACGTGCAGTTACACAAATAAATGTCAATATAGAATGTGTAATTTATTTCGTATTTATTTGTAAATCGACATTCCTCGCTTAATGTCGAGCGATATTACTTCATTCTCATGATATGACATTTATCGCGTTCATCTTCGCCCTAAACAAACTCCTTCTCTTAAAGATGATAGTAATTTGCTGCAAGGCTATTACGCGTTTGCGACTACGTGAAATTCATTCTTCAAGACAAGTACTTTAATTAAATGTCAATCCGATGTTTTTCCGCGTCGTTTGACATCGGTCGACATCGCTTTACGGGTCTCGGGTTTTAAATCTGAAGGCGCGCTTCGTATCAAGTGCATTATATTTGTTTTTGCATTTTCCAAACCATCCTTTTATGCATCGCATATGCATGTCACATCTTGCGACGCTTTCCCATTCTATCGTCGCGATAAACGCTACTTTCGATTTTTTCTTTCACGCGCAAAAAACACTAAATCTCGAAACAAGTTAACAATTGTCTGTCTGTGACAGCACCGCGATGCTTGCGCGAACAAACATTTTTTTACATAAAACGCGAACTGTGCACAACATACGTGGACACATGACACATTCGCATGGAAATAAAATGGAAAAGTTGCGCGAGATATAAGTGATAAACGATTAATGATGAATAAACTCACTATTAAAAATTTATTGCTTATTACAATTGCGGTTATAATACCAAATAACATTGCCTGCTTCTACACTATTCATTTTAATTACTGCATAGAGTTAATACTTTTAATCTCGGAAATAAAAATGTATATGCGAAACAATACTACAAATTTTTTTTTTATTATAAAAACACTCCTTTTTATTATTATAAAAATGCTCCTAAAAAAACTTTTCAATAATTTTGGAGATAAAAAATTTTGTTTTTTTCTCCTCTGAATAAACGACGGTCGACAGATCGAAATTCGTTTATCGCCACTATTGCTCCACATTGTTCGAAGCTCCAAACAGTAATACATACGATATGCATACTTTATTAACACGAAACCTGCGCATTATGTAAGCTTGCAACGTGCAGCTGCGTTCTGAGGAAAGAACTGCACTTGGAAAAATATGTAATCGAGATAGCCCAAGTCACGAATTTCTCGTTATCTCAAAAACATTATTATAATGTTCCTGGTTCAGAACTTTCCATATATATATATATATATATATATATATGTGTGTGTGTATGTGGTTTATAAGTTGTAAATTTGTGACGGGTTTCTACGGCCTTTACATACTTTTCTCGGTGCTTTCTGTGTACCGGTCGATGTGTTCGAGCTTTCGTAAGCACCGCATTACTGTTGAACTGTTTGTTACTAGTATTATCACGAGCTAGCTAAGAAACATTAACTGATTGTCGTTATTGTGATTGTAACTGAATGTTTCTTGCTTGCAGCACCAGAGCGCCGCCCAGGCATTGGTGAGTCGCATGTCTCTTTCTCTTCCTTCCTCTGTCTCCGGTATTTTTTACATGCATATATTTTATACATCTTTTTTATACATTTCTGTCACCATTCTTATTTTCAATTGCTTATTTTAAATTATCATTAACCTTTCTCGTAGTACACGTCCAAATTTGAAACAGATAATTTTTAGTAGTGGATATTTAAAGTTTCATTTGACATGAAATATAGAAATAAATGCTATGAGGTTGCTTAAGAAATCTACGAGAAGAGGTTGATGAAAGATTGATAAAGATTGATTAAAAACTGGATAAAAATAATGTCAGTTATTCTTCCTAGTAAATCATAATCAACTGCATCATGTTACATGTGTAGAAAATCAATCGTATTCTTTTTCTTCAAATATGTTCTGTGTACAACCGATATAATGTAATGATTTTTTTTTAATTTTGAATATATTGAAACAAAACACATTGATATAACAATAATATCAAACTTAAACAAGATTTCCTACAAACATACAAATGTATCTGTATATGATTAATCTGACGTTGAAATAGGTTTTAACACCATAATTACTATTGTCTTTCACAGCGTCAAAATAGCATTATGCACTTTTCCACAACTAATATTATATTGTATATTGCAAAGAGAAAATCTCTTAGATGATGTAAGGTAAGCTCCCAGATGGATCAAGAAACCGAAAAGTTTAGAAACTGAACCTTTAAACTTTGCGAAAGTACAGCAACAATTTTTACGCGATACTCGTATACCAACTTTTAACAAATTCTATCAAGATCGAACGGAGCTTTCTAAACTCGTTCTTCGAAAACATCCTAAGCATCCAAAACTTGATTTATATTAATAGCTTTCGCAATCCAATAATTTATTTTACACTCAATAACTCTTATAATATTCCATTAGCAAGGTATATTTTAAATTTTCTATTCATAACAAAATTATATACTTATGTTATAATTAATTATTGATTAAGACAAAAAACTTGCACTTTTTTCTGTCCTGTTGATTGAATGTTTTAGAGATCTGGCATTATAAACGAATATTGATTGTTGAAATTGATGATTTAATTCAGGGACGAAAGTATAATGACATTTGTAAATGCACATTATTTATACGCACGCACAAAAACATTTGGCCGCATAATCGATAATATTTATCTCAATAACTCAATTAATATATCGAGCAAGACATCATGTAAAAATATTGTAAAAATTTTGAAAAATAACTCGACGCGGAACTTGAGCGAACAGTCAGCGAAATTATTTCGCGTGGTCGATGAAAGCTGACATCAGTCGATCCGATACAAGACGGAACAACGGCCGGATGCACGTGAATATCACAACCTAACCATTTGTAGCTTCGATAACCCCGGACTCACTTTGATAAATCCTGCACTATATACCGATACCGATTTTTGAAACGGTCCGAAATCGCGATTTGTGAAGAATGCATCAGCCGTAAAGTGCAAGTGGCGCTTATTCTTGCGTGTGCCACAGCATCGGATCGTGTTCGCTGCATGTACACACCACAGGATGCAACGGATCTTCCGTTGCTCCCCGTAGTACGAAATAATTTACTCCTGATGGAGACGGTGCGGAAAATCCAATCGCTCGGATAATTGAATTGTCGGGCCGATCGGAGGGAATCTCCTGTAGTCTTTCGCGAGATTAATCTTCACTTTTTTTGCTATCATGCATCATTCTAAACAGTATCGGCCGCAACTGTAAAACGAAACTTCCGCGCGAAGAACAATTTCGTTTTGACGGATCTACGAACTAGATAAACATTCCCAGGGAGGCCAGTTTTACCTTGAACTTTTTAATCTTTAGATCATATTAGGCCAACGTGCTCGAGTTTTTAGAATGACATCACGCGCTGTTATTCATGGAAGCTTATTTAATGATTAAACACGAGTCCTCATTCAGCTATTTTAAGAATTGAAAATTGTTGAAGAAGATGACGAGTGTATTCAGAGTCGCAAGAATCGAACAGTCGTGTGCAACAACTCGCTTTAGCGATGCAATGACATTTATTGAATTTAATTAATTAATAGATTATCTAATATATGTAAAAGCATTTTGTATATATATGGCGACATTAGAAAGATGGAGCAATAACGTAAGAGGCACAGAATGGAATTTGCCAGACATTTGTTCGTGATTATTGTTCATTATCCAAAAGATCCTAGTCGAGAAAGCTCGCGCGAAATGATTTTATACGAGGCGCAAACTGGGTCGCGGAAATAAAAGTTGTGTAATTGCGACCCTATCGACTCCGCTGGAATAACCGATCCGAAGCGAAAGACTTCGACGGGCCTCTGGCTAGTTTAGTGCTAAAGCAACTACAGTAAACTTCTTCCAATCTGAGGCTTTCGATTGGTTCTTCTCACTCGAAATGGTCGAATTGCTAGTTACATGTACTGGTGTATCACCGACGTTCATTCATTTTGGTGGCATAGTTGTAGTCGAATTATTTAATTCCAACATCACACATTTCGATGTTAAAAGTACTATATATTAACATTTTTAGGATATGATTTATTATTGTATCATAATACTGTAAAAATACTTCTTCCTACAGCCTTTTTTTAATATTTATAATAATTAAAACACAGACACATCGTATGACATATAATTTGCATGTTTCAAAATTCAAAATATTAACCAAGCTTGTCAGAGCATCGCTTTCTATTAAATGTAATATTTTTTCTCTTATTTTTCGTTTTTGAATCCAGAAATGTACATACGTGGAGTGACAGAGTACGCTGATAATGTCACACGCGGAAATTATCGATGTATCACGCGAATACTATAATTTGTTCGATTACAAAGCAATGTCAATCACCACCCACTGTTCGAAACATCGAATTTAACGCCCCTCACCCATTTAATTAAAGTTTAAAAGACCTTTCTCTGCGCGTGCGCATTTAAACGTGCAAATTACGTTACCGCGTGCTATCAATATATTTGCCTGCGTGCATTATTATTTCAAAATTACGCTGTCACACGCAAATTTCTTTGTATACGTCAATTTTGACGCATTCACATTAATCTGAATTAAATTGCTAACAATCTATCGCATAGTAATTATATTCACTTTCCAAGTGCGATTGTCAATTATTGTCATATGTATGTATATGTGCTTTATCGGACAAATATTGTTGTTTGCAAAAGTTGCTAGTTAGGAAAACATTTTGGTCAAATAAAAGACTGCTCGGGCAAGCGCTCGTGCACATTAAGCATGCAAATGAATACTCCAATCTTGCTGTCTATGCCAATTTTGAAGATTTAAAGGGCTAACATGGAGTTTAATACGTGGCATGCAAGCGATATTATTATTCGAACATGTACTTCATTTATATTATAACAATTTTATTAATCGCTTATCTTTTGACGCATTACTTCACGGAATTTTGTAAAACGTCTTTATTGTAGCTAATTCTTCAATATTGCACAGATTATCGGTTAACTTTTATTGCAGCTAGGCGATGCATAAGTGGATTAATAATAGAACTTGACACAATAAGAGAGAGCAAGAGAGAGAGAGAGAGAGAGAAAGAGACTCTTATGCTTATATGTCTAAATTATGTGCAACGGCAGAAATAGAATTTATTGTGACGTTTATAACTTTGCTTTTAAGAGTGATGCCGTCAATGACATTCTAGATTTAAACGCTTGAAGTATAGCATGATGTGTAGAATGGAATTTTAAACTACATTTCTGCGGTATAAGATGTTGACTATAATATCACATATGATGCAGTGACACTCCAGTATTTTCTTTCACTTATCGATTTCTAAAGTATATAAGATACCAGTATTTTTATAATATCATTTTTTCGATGTCTCTCTCTCTCTCTCTCTCAACAACATAATATTTTTACGAAATATTTTTTTCTTTATTTATAACAGTCAGTATTATGTTAAATTAGTATAATTCGATTTGACCATTGCGTGCACGTGTGTGATACAGTACTTTTGCATTCCTACTAAATATTGTAGTTATACTTAATCAGCTTACTTATACATGAACCGTTCAATATTAGTTGGATGTACAATGTATCAGGACTCATTGTCAGATGCTTTGATATTAGCTGCTAACCAAATCAAAGTGATTTTCCACAATTCAACTTTCAATCGTATTAGTCTCTCTGTTCTTACCATAATGTTATCAAAGGAAGAGTGTACACAGCCTTTTGATATAATATATATAAATTTTTTTTGTTAATTCATAATAATGCGATTATGTCAATAATTATCACTCTACTTGGTCCATCGTATACAAAACACATGCAAAACACGTTATTATAAAATAAATTGTCAGAAGCGGGTTTAATTAAAACATGTTTTAATTACGAGTAATCTCGTTTTGATAATAATTAAACGAATGTGCTGTTTTAAATTTCATAAAGATTGTTTAATGTTAATCGAGATTAAGTTTAATTTATTTATTTTTATAAATTACGCGCGCGTACATTATAGTGTTTTGCATACAATACATTGTGTTCTTATACTCTTTAAAATAGAAGATTTCTGAGAAATTACTCCTACTTGTAATATGTCATATCGACATCTGTCATGTTTACACACAAAGTCTTGTTTCATTTATCCGACGCGGATTGTTTAACAGATATTTAATTTAACAAACAAGTTGCGCATTTCATCTCACTCTTGTAAAATATTTGATATTATCACAAAATGAGGACGTAAGATACATATAACAATATTACATATTAAATTAAAATAAAATAAAATATTACACACATTTTAAAACTCATTCTGATCATTTTCTAATAAATGTCATTTTGTAATAATAGCGTTTTTAATATGAAAAATATGACTATTTGTACTTGTAGCAACTTTTCGTTTTTTTTATCCATCTCTAAAATAAAATATTTTTATGCATGGTAAATGAATAAAAGAGTAACAGTGATATTCTTCAAATAATAAAAATTAATAATAATGAATATATTTTTTCTCGATTCAACATATCTTACT